GCTACGTATCAAGTAACGTGGCACGCCAAGTCAAACGGAAGAGCCAATAGGGTCGTGCCACGTGTCAAAATGACAAAGCATGACAAGTCACATTAAAAGGCCAATGAAATCGCGCCACGTATGCAAGTGACATGTTCTGGCCAATCAAATGCGGCCTTGTCACACTTCAATTTGGTTGGTCGGAAAGAGTTTGTTCTTATCATAACTCTTCCCTCCCACAACTATAAATAGGGGTCTTCATAACCCAGAAAAGACACTAGAAATTATAACAAGAAGCGAGAGAGAGCTCGTGGATCAAACGACGAAAATTTCTCTACAAGTTTCAGGCTTCAAGCAACCAAGTTCAAGTTCAAGAAATCAAGTTCAAGTTCAAAAACAAAGAATAAATCAAGTTCAAGCTCAAGAACGAAGAAAAATTCAAGTATTCAAGATCAAGAACGAAGTCAAATCAAATACAAGGCGTTCAAGATCAAAGCTACTTGTTCGTGATAAAATTCGTGGAAACAATCAAAATGTTGGCGATGGATAAATCAAATAACAATTCAAGATCAAGCTCAAAGGCTCTTGAATTTATGTTGGAAAAGTAGAATCAGAGGAATCATAGAGATTGTAACACTCAAATATTTGAAATCAAATACTACGATTGTTGCAATATTTTTCGGTCTTGATTTTATTTTCTCGACGTAAATTATTGTCTACAGTGGGTTCACGTGAATTAGTAGCTTTTACCTAGATTTTGTACATGTATTAGAAATTCCATTTAAGATGTATAAATACATGGTCTCGTATACGAAGAAAGAGAATGTTGATGTTAATAGACTAATCTATTTATTGGTAGGGAATTTCTTCCTGTGATCGCCTTTCTACCAAAAAGTTAACCCAACAAAGACCGAACTTTTTTAGACTAGACCTCCGGGTTCATACATGCATTGGTCCAGTCAAGAATTTGACAATGAATTCGATTGTTATTGTATATTAACTTTGTAATAGGAATATATAAACTTTAAATCTTGCATCTGCATTTGCCAACCCCTTTTAGAAAAATGGAAGGATAAAGAGAGAGAGAAAACAACTCTTAGACAAGTTGATAATTTTAAAAATAAACTATATATATAAAACATTTGCTAGTACATATCTTCAAATATGAAAATATATATCCTCAAGTGGAATTGCAGATGAAGCTGAATTTTTTTGATTGTATATCCAAAAATGGGATGATTACCTTTTTATAGTGATATGACTTGCTTAAATGATTCCATAAAATGAAACAATAAATAAAAAAAACTAACTTTCGTATATGGTGGAAGTGATAACACACTACAAGTTGCGGTTTAGCCGATATATACAGATTTAGATTGAGACTTGAGAGGGCCATGGTATACGCCAGAAATAATGTACAAACATAGAACTTTTGTTATTCAAATAAATTATACGTTAACGTGATTGTATTAGGAGTAATATTTGTTACTTGTAGTATAATCACGTACAGAGGCGGAGCTAGGATTTCAAACTTATGGGTTCGGAATTTTAATCGCCTTAAGTTACTGAGTTCTAAATTAATGATTAATTTTTTGAGACAAATACAGAGTTCGAACAAAGCTATTGCATTCGGCCGAACTCGCGCTCGGCACTCTAGCTCCGCCCCTGATCACATATATTTACTCTCTCTGCCCTCCCACGGTAGGGGTAAGGCTGCGTACATCCTACTGTCTCCAGACCTCACTTGTAAAATTTTCCTGGGTACTTTTATAAGATTATAGACTTGGAAGACATACCCAATTCGCCATATCAGTCTTATAACTTCAGAAAAGCCGATATGCCCTTACATAATACAAAATTCTATTCCTAAAGCTTCAATTTTTTTTAGGTTAGAAATAGCTGAATTTTAAATGAAATATGGACAAAAAGTATTGGAATGCAATGATGGCATGATAGTCAAAACGGCTAAATGATACTTTTAATATGGTATGATATTGTGTGAAAATGACATCAGGTACTCATTTTTAAGCATGTTGTTTAAAATATATTCACGGTTTATAATGTATTTAAAGATTAGCCAATTTGGCTCAAACATCAGGACACCGTGTCCTAAAGTTCGAAAATTGTGTCTTGAAATTCGAATCTTATGTTCTGAATTTTAAATTAGTATTTTAGAAATTTAGGACACTTAGTTCTGAATTTCAAATTAGTAGCTCAAAAATTCAGGACACTAAGTCCTGAATTTGGAATTTCCAAATTCAGGATAATTAGTCCTGAAGTTTGGGCGAATTGGCTAATCTTTAAATATATTATAAATTGTGGATATATTTTAAATAACAAGCTTAAAAGTGGCTATTGATGCACTTCGACCTGATATTGTCCGCTTTGAGCCAAGCCTGCACGATTCCTTGGACTTTGTTCACACACCTAAGAATCTCTCTTGTCCATCACCACGACCCACGGGTCTATTTCCGAGATTCATTGTGTACTACCCACATTATCAAAGTATTTATGATAATTGAAGCCCACAAACTAGCTTCTTCTTGTGTGTGTGTCTCTAAGCTCGTAAGGGTAAGGAAATAGAGCCCCCACCATCGCTCAACAATCATCATACTCGTCCTGCCGAAACTGGGCTCTGATATGAGTTTTTGGGCTAAAACGACCAAATGATACTTTTAACATGGTGTCATATTGTTCGTTTTAGGCCAAGCCCGCAAAGTTTTCCCAAAAGACCTCATACCATTAAGAGATTCATGCACCTTATAAGTTGGTTTTTAATTTTTTCAATTACTAATGTAAGACTTTATCCGCACACCCGATATTTACATTCACCAACGTGATTGGGATTGGCTTATTTTTTGAAATATTTTTGCACTCGGTACGAATCACGGCACTTTACGACAAAATTTTAGAGGTGACGATGAATGACATAACGTGAAAAGACGTTGTTAGCACGTTATCCAAATGTTCTCTAGAATTTTTACTGTGACGACCAAAGAGAATATTAATATTGCAACCAACTTGGCAAGTTGAACAAAAAGGTACAAGTTGCTACTCTTATGTTCGATTAAAAACAATATTTTAATATTTACAAATACTAATTTGGCTCTTAATATTTTTAGGTAATAAATTTCAATATTTGCAATACTGACAAATATTGAAAAGAGTAGTGAATTTTAATATTTGAAATACTAAAAATTTTGTTTTAGAGTATTTCAAGTGAAAATAGTAATTTTCAGTCATAAAACCTGCAACTTTAAGTGAATTAAATTTATATTCAAGCATAAATTACACTTTTTCAAGTTTAATAAGATATTTTCCAAACCCTACTAGCTTTTTTGAACGAAAACCATGTGAATTGCGAGGGGGAAAAAAGGACGAAAGGATCGAGCTGAGGAAGAGTGGGTGGGGAAAATAGATATATGAAAAAGGAGAGAAAAGAATCTTTCTTGGTAATAACAATTAAAGTTAAAGTTATACAAATGTTAGTTAATTAAACTAGCTTGATTTTCATATTTGGTAAATGGTTGGTAATGAAAAAGAATCAATAATTTGATGGTTTAAGTTACTAAAAGATAGCCATTCTATTGTATGATAAAAGGTTTCCGTACTAAGCCAACATGAAACATTCTAATTTAATTTTTACCCCACTTGCATGGGTTTTAAGAATATTCCAAAATTCAAAGTAAGAAAAACTAGTACTCCCTCCGTTTTAATTTAAACGATATATTTTTCTTTTTAGTCCGTTCCAAAAGCAATAATATATTTTTATATGTAGAAATAATTTAACTTTGAACTTTTTATTTTACCCACTTTACCCTTAATAAGAAGCTTTTACATGCCATATATGACGCCACAAGCTTTTGCCCCTTAAGCTTTAAGAACACATATTTCCTTATTCTTTTTTTTTTTACAAAACTTTATGACAAGTCAAACTAAATCATCTAAATATAAAAAGGAGGGAATATTAAACAAAAGAAAATATAGTATGAACTATGAAATTAACCAACTATTGCTACATATATACTGTTTGTAACAAATTTGAACTCAAATTTTTAACTGTGAATATTAAATGCTCCAATGTCATTGAATCACAGGAAGGGAAGTTTTGGTGTAACTGGTAAGTTATTTTTATTTGATTACGAGATTACGGGTTCGAACCGCAAAAACAACCTCTTACAAAATACAGGGTAAATTTCATACAATTGACCCTTATGGTTCGGTCCTTTTTGTACCCGTATATAGCGGGAGCTTAGTTTGTAGTTTTTGGAAAGTCCAAATAAGCTTTTGGGAAATCGGGGTGCAGTTTTTAAAACTGAGTTTTATTCCGGACTGCGTCCAAATAAGTTTTTAGCAACTTGATCATCCACTTGCATGGCCCTAACGTGAGCAGTTTGCTAAACACACCAACTCTTGCTACTATAATTTTTGTCTTCAAAATTAAATGTTATCCGAAGATAGAGCAACTAACACACAACTAGACAAAGATTATAAGTATACATGACACACTCTATTTATTTATTTTTTAAAAAAATTTCAGAATAATTCATAGTCACTATCTTTCGAGTGTGCATTAGGTAACCTGTTCAGTGACAATAACTCAAAAATCAGACAGGAAATATAAACCGCACTAGACAAATCCGATACAAAGAGCCCTGACTGAGAAGTCTACTGGTAAAGAGAATCGATCTCAAGTCTCCCTGGGATCACTGAACCAGGAGATAGACACTCGTTTTGATATGCTATATTTTAAAGTTATTGACACAATATAAGTGATACCTTTTTTTATTTTAAAAATCTCATCTTCTACTTCAATGACGACATGCTCTAATAGAAATCAACACTTTATTTGTGCTTAATTAAGCAATATTTAATTAAATTAAAGCTTAACATTGTATATATGAAGGATATACGTAACATTTAAGAACCAGAGAAATATTTAGCTAATTAATTAAAGCTCAACATGTTAAAATCTTAATAGTATATCTTTGTATATTACTTAAATCCTTTATATATATATATAGAGACTCCATTTCCATCTCTCTCAAAGGAATTAACATAGTTGAAAAAAGAGAGAGATAAACATGACTTCTACACTTCAACTCCATAGAATCAACCCTAACACCGCCGCTACACTCGCCGGAAACTTCCACAAACAACCGGAACAACCACCCACATGGATAACCCCCCTAACCAACACCTCTCTCCCTAACAACCTATTCCACTACCACACCCACGCAGTGGGCCCAAACCAATGCTGCTCCGCCGCGGTGCAATCCATCTCCGCCCCAATCGACACCGTATGGTCCCTCGTCCGCCGCTTCGACAACCCGCAAGCTTACAAACACTTCCTCAAGAGCTGCCACGTCATCGTCGGCGACGGAGAAGTCGGTTCGTTGCGTGAAGTCCACGTCATCTCCGGCCTCCCCGCAGCTTCGAGTATTGAGAGGTTAGAGATTTTAGACGACGAAAATCATGTTATGAGTATCAGTATTGTCGGCGGCGATCACAGGCTGAATAATTATCGGTCCGTCACGACGCTTCATCAGACGGCGGACGACGAGGGAACAACGATAGTGGTGGAATCGTACGTTGTGGATGTTCCACAGGGGAATACTAAGGAAGAAACATGTGTTTTTGTTGATACAATTGTACGGTGCAATTTGCAATCGTTGGCCCAAATCACTGAAAATTTGGAGAAAATCAAAGAGTAACTAATCGTGAAAAATTTAAATCTTTGTACATTTCTTCGATCCTTCCTTCTTTTTTTTTTTTTAATTTTGATTTAAATAGACGGAGTTTTTATTATTGTTGATCCCGAAGCGGATGAATTCTCTCAAATGTTCTTATAACTGAACCCGTTGCATACTTGCTCTTCTGGATATTTATGGGTTCATAAGTTAATATTTGTTGAAATTTAGCGATTTTTTACGTATATATTTATAGTTTGTGTCAAAAATACTGAGTTTTATTGAAACCTGATAGACATCTACCTCCGCCATTAGATCATGGAGATCCAAAATCGTAAGTTTAGAGATCCTGTGGATGCATTAAGCCATGTTTTGTTTGCAGTTCAAATTATGTTTTGCTTTTCGAGAGTCAATTTAACTAATTTTTGAAGTTAAATTGCATTAAATTTTAATAATATTTTAAAATTAAAATGTAAATATTCGAAAAAACTATACCAATATGGTAAAAAAAAATATGTTAAAATATTGATTAAAATTTATGGAGTTTGACTCTTATGACAAGTAAAAGTGAACGGAAGTAGTAAGTTTTTTTCTTGATAATGGCGTCAATCGATAAATGCATTTGAAAAAAAGAGTGTAATATTTGAATAATAGAAAGGATGTCATATTACATTTTATCAGCAAATAGGTTGTATAAAACTTATCCATACTACTACTTGCAGTATTCTGAATAAAATTTGTTAGCCTTTGGGCACTGAACCTGCAGCTAAGATGGGGACCGTCTCTTTTACGTACTGATTAACTCTTTTTTGTATTCACTTTTACAAATGCTAACAGTGTAAACAGTCTTTATATTAACTATCAATATAATTTACTTTATTGTAACATGTTGCTATATCTATGTTATTTCTCATACTTAGTTTTACTTAATTATCAGGGCTAGCTATTACTTTTAGCCAGGAGCGGATGTAGTTTATTATTGATGGGTTTAATTGAACCCATAACTTTCGACGCAGAGTAAAAATTGATATATATAAAAAAAATGGATATGAACCCATAACTTTAAAAATATAATGGATTCAATGCTAAAACCCTTAAAATTTGAAACCACAAAAATTAAATTTTGGATCCGCCTCTGCTTTTTGCTATCTTTTACATGACCTTATAATTTTTTACGTTACAATAACAATAAATCCAGTATAGTCCCACAAGTGGGGTCTGGAGAGGGTAGATAGTACACAGACCTTACCCATACAGTAAATGTAGAGAGGTTGTTTCCAGTAGACCCTCGGAGTTATTTACATTAATAACAACAACATACCTATTGTAGTCCCACAAGTAGGGTTTGGGGAGGGTAGAGTGTACGGGACTTACCCTATCTTTAAGAAAGCAGAAAGATATTTCGATAGACCCTCGGCTCAAGAAATTTAAATGAATTTTTTTTAAAATTTTTACATTATTGTTACTGTATAAAAGTTAAAGTCATTGTGTTTTGATCAAAATTATATCGGTACGAATTGTAGAGCTGGGTAGATGGGCAAGAAACAGCTCGGATTTGCAGCATTAATTGACTAAAAACAAAGTACGATATCAAATTTCATTCAAAAAGCAAAGAAAAATGATAAAGTACTAGACGTCTGCTCCAAAGTACCAACTTGACATTCAAAATAAAGGCAAGTTGCATTTTTAATTTCTAAATCTTTTATGGGGTTTTCTACCTCTCTTTTCTTTTATGTAATTACACTATATGTTTTTGCAAGTTGGTTTGCAAGTGGACAAAAGGCTTTTATTGAATTTCAAAAATTAATTTGTTGGCCTATTATAATATTAGTCAAGGCGGCTATTTTCCCTTGGGCATTCATTTTTACTTACCAGAAACAGTCGTTGTGAAATAAATATAAAAAGAGTTTATAATGTCGTATTTCTCTTTTACACGTCCCATTAAAGTTTGTGGTTGAAATTTATTGTTGCTATTTAAGCAGCACTATGACTAATTGGGAGAGACTTCGAATTTTGACCTCTTGTTCTTTGAGAATTAATAGACGATTAGACTTTTGTACCTAATTGCTATTATGTGACTTTAGGCATATAGATAGATAAAACCTCTGAATATTTGGCCAATCGATTAAATTAGTGATTTGTTTCACCTTAAAATCTCTAGTCAAATTCAGAAAAATACTATCGCGAGTTTGAATAAATAATCGTTAGCGTCAAATTGTATTTAAGGTTTTTATGGAGCAGTTTTTTTAGTTCGAGTCATGGAAGCAATCACTAATGCTTGTATTAGGGTAGGCTGTTTACATCGATACGGTTATTCTCCGAACCATGCGTGAGTACGGGATACTTTATGTGCACTGGGCTGCTATACATATATATATATAAATATATACATATATATTTTTTAAAAAGAAGCTTTTATGTCATTAATTCATCTTTTTGGACTAAAACGAGGATGAGAAAGTTCGGCTTGAGTGTGTAGCCCTCTCCCTCAGAATATGAAAGAGAGATCATCATTTGGCATCTCGATGTTGAATATTAATCATATACTGGGGATTGGAGAAGGTTTAAGTAGGATTTGATTGTTAGTTAATTCAAGTGTGGTACTTTAGTTGGATTTAAAACATGGTAAGATAATTGATCCCTATGTATTATTGTTGTTAAACGGTTCAGATAAGCCTTCAATCTTGCAATCTCATCGATATCATCATCAACAAGTCACAAATGGAAGCGTGGATTAGTGGGTGTCTGCTTGATTTTGTCATAGTCTCGTCTGGTATGCGCTCGAAGCCTATGTTTACTAGATAAATTGAAAAAGGTATGATAGTGATCTCGCTCAACACGATATTATAAACATTTACTATGATATAACTCACTTTCTCTCACCTTTTATTAACTAAATGTATGCGATCACCTTCCCTAGTATGAGTATTTGCTTTGGGTAACAATTTAACACTCAGTAGGAACAGATTTAAACTAAAACGATATGACAAACTCTGGTAAAAATCATGGAAGTGTATACATTTATAGTAAGAATAATCTAACAAATATTATTAAACCAATAACAAATGGTGGACCTCCATAAAAGTCCAAAAAATAAAAAGTAAATCACATTAGGTATTGAGGCAAGTTCTTTAGATAATCTCTATGATGTATGCTCAAAGTGTTAAGGATAGAAAAGCTTTGCAAATAAAAGCTCATTCCAAACATCTTGAATTCCAGGCACACACCAATGTATACAATCTGCGTAGCTTACGGGATTTGCTCGTTCTTCTGGACTTAAAGGGCCCCATCTCTCCTTGTAAATTGATGTGTGTGCATCCTTTCGTGGCATTGACAATTGAGTGATGTTGAGAAATGTAATTGGCACTTTAGATTTACCAAATTCTTCACTAATAACTTGCATTATGCTTTTTCTACTATCTGATCCCCAGTAATTCGGATCGTCTATCATTTTTGTTTCATTATAGCAGTTTCCATTTGGATCTCCACCCCACTCTTTGCTCCTAATAACATGAAAACAATTGACAGACACTAAATTAGACGTATTGGGTTCTGAGTTGAGAGATTGGATTTTGAAATATATATCTAACTTTATCAATATTTATTTTTCGCCCTTGATTATAGGGCTCAACCTCGAAGCACTCATTACTGAAAAACTACTAAAAATCGATAGGAAAAACCGACCGCTGTTACATTAGTCGGTAACCTAGGAAAATCGAAGTAGTAAAAGGTAAATTAGTCAACTTTCTAAATATGCTAAACTAGTTGGAATCGACTATATGAATTCGCTATATATCTGGCTTATTTGGCATCCTCATAGTAATACTGATATTATGATTATTTGTATAGTCAAGTCACTTACCATGCATGAGAAGGTGACATACTGGTAAAAAAGACTCTATTTCGTTTTGGATCCATATTTCCCTTTATCCACCTCAGTAAATTCTGCATCGCCATACGATAAGCATCTTCAGTTGGCACATCTGCTATGTATTTTATATTATCATCAAATGTACCATTCCTGCGTGAAATATAAACTTAGGTTTTAGATATCTATACAAAGCACCAGAAAAGAAAGAAAAAAAAGAATGTCAATATAAGAAGGAAATGTTTTGTATAATTTACAGAATCTTGAATGTACGGCCTGTCATCCACCAAATATACGTATTGAACACCATTATATCCACTCCTTTCCAGTGTTGCCCATGGGTATCTATTGAATCTTTTCGAACAATTCGATCAGGTACCCTATGCTTGCCAGGACTATCTGCATTTGATTCTAGAAGAAATGGTGCCCAGTAGAATTCAATTGTTGCATTGTAATCCTGGTTGTGAATCCAAGTTAATTAAATGTTAGTAGTGAATCCAAGTTTACTGTTAGTACTACAAGTTGCATGCAATAGATTAATATAATAGTCTCCAAACGGTAATAGTATAAGTCTGAGTTTGAGATTATGTAGTTTATAATATAATTATCCTATCTCATATCAATTAAAAGGTACTTGCAGGTAATCTAGACAGGATTAATTGCAGTTTTGGCCCCTCGGTTATTGATAAATTCTGAATTCGATCTTCAATACATTTTGCTAACATATTTAATAATTTTTCGAAGCATATTTAACCTCCAATCAGTTAAAATATATGCTTTTGGTCGCTCTCTATATAAAAATGTGTTGTATTTAGGCTACTTTTGAGTAACATTACCCTCAAATATGGAGTAACAACATAAATTTAATTAACATATTGGTGATTAAATAGTTTAACATCTAGTAATTTATTATTTTATATTGGTGATTAAATAGTTTAACATCTAGTAATTTGTTATTTTGTAAAGATTCATAACCAGAGGACTAAAAGCATATATTGCAATTAATTGAAGGTTAAATATAATTAACCAATTGTAGCAACGCCCAAAATAAGAAACTGTTTTATATTTGAGGGAATAAAAGTGAAATTGTTTCTTTGTAGTAATACGTATAGACCAGTAACCTACAATAAATGATAACTAACCAATGTTACCATGTCAAACTTTATTGATAGTATAAAAATTCACATTTACATACCTTTGCTGTGAAAATGGTGAATGAATCAACTTTATGGAGGGATTTTGCGTTATCTGGTATAACTTTATGGATGAGGCAGACCAAGGAAGTGAATTGTCCTCTATTTAATGAATCACCTACAAACATCATCCTCTTTCCTCGAATAGTTTCGAGCATCAAAGATGCATTGAATCTGTCGAGATAATATAATATCAATATTAATATTTTTAGTGATCAGAAAGCATAGATAACAGAGTAACTTTTGGTTACAACGGAAAGGGTTACACACCTAGGAATAAGACAATTATGAGGTTGCCATCTCCAATAGAGATAGTCCTTGTCTGGCCTCCCATGTTCTTGGCAAGTCTGCTGAGGAAGTAAATATGGACATTCTGATTCCTCATATAAAGCCCCACTTGACTCATCCCAAACCCACTTTCCACTGAATAAATCACACCCTTTTTCACTTTCTCCAATTGCAAATGCCAATTTATCCTTGTTCTTCTCTAACACAACAACAAACTTAACAACTTAGGATTAGAAAAACAACAACATTCCTCAACAAAATCGTATCAACTTATATATATTGAGGGCGTAAAGAATTTTTATACTAATATGTTAATGCAGCAGGCTGTCTATGTTAATTTTCAGGTTACTATAGAGGCTTATGCATTCAAGATTCTAAATCTTTTAGGTACTAAATTAATGATTTTACCTATTTAATGAATCTATTAAGACAAATACATGGTTTTGACCAATGCTACCGAGTTCGGTCCAACTTGTAGCTTCTACTCTCCCTCCGACCATGGTTACTAATACCACTACGGGTTGTTATCGATAGCTACATTTTAAGTGAAACAACAACCACCACCACCACAATCCCATTGTAATCCCACAAGTGGGATCTAGGGACGGTTAGTATGTATGCAGCCTTACTTCTGCCTTGTGAAGATAGAGAGACTGTTTTCGATAGACACTCGACTAAGAAAAATATTTTAAGTGAAACAATAGTGTAAAATTCTTTTATGTGGTGTATAGAAGTTAAACACCAAGAGAATTAGTACTAAGAAGAAAAAAAGGGTGTTGATCAACTTACTTGTAGGTTTTGGAGTTGGCCAAATCAAGTTGGCTAAGGATGTGACTGATGGCGAAGATGGAAGAAGATAAGCTGAATAACTAATCAAAAATACAACTAAACTTAGTAATAAGAAGAGATAAGGATAAAAACGAGTTTTTCTGAAGAGGGGCAAAGAAGGAGGCAATTCCATCTATTGAAGCTTTGTCCTGTCTTTCTCTTTTCCCAAAATTTTTGCACCATTAGCAGTATGTCTAAGCGAGAAAAATATTACAAATTTGAAGTTAAACGAAGAGTCATTTGTAATTCTTTTCTTGGGTTTATGTAATATATATCCTCTAGCACGATTTAAACATTGGTAAAAGGAAGTTGAATCAGATTCACTGTCTTTAAACTAGTCATCTACTTTCCTAATCATTCCTCATTGAATATTGCTTTTCCTACTCACGTCCTTACTAATATAGAATGCAATTTTTCACCTTAATTTTTGTTCCAATTATAGAAATACGAACACCAATAACTAATTGTGTTGTTTTGGTGTTATCATTACTTTATATCTTGTATTCTATATGTAGTAAGGTAAATTGAACCTGAAATTCTTTAAAATCTTTTAGTTGAAAGAGAATCAAATATTGAAGAGATGAATTTTCCATGTGTATGTTATAAAAAATAATTCATTAAATTGGTGAAATTGTAAATATAAATACTGACAACTAAGAACCAACCATTGCAATTGAGGAAAGTCGAAATTTAAAGTAAACGCGCAGTTGTAGCTTTTACAGTATTCTAGTATTGTTCCAAGTATGGTCATACATTCACAAGAATAACTACACATAGTCACAAACACTGGGTCATAATTATAATCATATGTCAAAGGTGGTTCAACAAAATTATTGGCTTATAGCCAAATTTTAATAAGAGAACTTGAATTTAGTGTTCTTTCATTTTCTTTTGTAATTGTCTATCATGGAATATTCTAACGAGACATAAAGTTTTTAACTTCACATAATAATACTATTATTTATATCGGTAATGATTAACTTAGGTTAATAAGATATTAGTTATATGTATGCTATATTTTGCCTTAGATCTTGTTGTAAAAAAAATATTTGCTAATAAAGATTTTAATAATATAATTCAAAGCTATAAAATATTTCTGCTATTAAAACGTAGATAATCTTTCTTTCTTTTTTATAGAAAAATTTTGTACTTTTTTCTACAAATGTTAATATTTTCTTAAGCAAAAATATATTATGTATTCTACTATTAATACTTTTTAAGGCCTCAAAATTTTGGAGGCTAAAGCAAATGTTTTACTAGCCTCCTCCTTGAACCAACCTTAGACATATGTATAAGTGTTAAAGAATAGATATTTCTAGTAAGATGTATTATTGGGTTCTCAATCTTTTTATCTTTTTGTTCTTTTTTTTTTTAGGAAAAAAAATTGAATAATGAAAAGTAACGGAGTTCTCAAATTTTGCACCAGCTTCCTATCCTCTTATTTTTATGATTTGCCACTTAAACTATTCAGCTCTTTGCAATTATAAAATTAGCCGGTCGGCCAAAATTAATTGTATTTGCTAGCCAATAAGTATATAAAATATGTATACAAAAAATATGCAGTATGTCGGCTTTTATTTTTTGGAGCAACTAAAAATATACATTTCTCAATTTCTTTCTTCTTATGGGAATTCTTCAGAACAGAAAAGTGCTAGCATTGAAAATTGAGAATTTGCTCTACCTAATTCTCTGCAATAATTTCAGGCTATTCAATTGGTTTAGAAGAAAGCAAGAAACCAGCAAATTAAAATTGTTGTGCCAAAGAATCACTGGCTATACACGTTCACAGATTTTAAAGAGGAAATTTTGCATTTCCTACGTATAGTTGCTTAGTAAAGACATAATAATATATGGACATAGTTTTGTAAAGAAGTGAATAAATTTAAGGGGATAAATCATAAAAAATAAGGTAATAAGGTGAAATCAAAATAATTGGTGCAAACGTACAAAATGCAAAGAAATCTAAAAATGAGATTACATTTATGTTGTACATATGAGATGTTCGATTAGATAAAGAGGCAAATAAAATGTGAACAGTTTCTTGTCCAAATTATGGGCAAAATAGATGGACAAAAATTCTTTCCTTTTGAAATAAACTCATGAGGTAATCTAGTTTTTCCTTGTTAACAATTTTTTTCTAAAACAAAAGGATATTTTTCTTCAAACTCCTTACTCTTTTACAGTGGCAAAGCTTTTAATAATATGGCCGTAATATATCATTACGTGTCACTATCTCCACTCATTTCTCTTTACTTGTTTTCTCACTCTCTATCCGACTATTGAGGAGGATAATTGCTTGCCTCGTTCCTCATCCACCATAAATCAAATCCTTAATACATTATATAATACATGTGATAGGCTTTAATCGTCTATAAAATCTCAAGGATAGAGAAGTTTGGCGAATAAAAGTTCATTCCAAGTATCTGGAAGTCCAGGCAAACACCAGTGAAAACAATCGGCGTAGCTGAAGGGGTTTGCTAGTTGCTCAGGTGTTAATGGATTCCATTGCTTCTTGTAAATTGACGTGTGTGCGTCTCTTCTATAATTTGAGAGTTGTGTGATGTTAAGAAATGAGATTGGCACATTTGATTTACCAAATTCTTCTCCAATCACTTGCATTATGCTTTTTCTACTATCTGATCCCCAGTAATTTGGATCATCTATCATTTTTGTTTCGTTGAAACAATTCTTATTTGGTTCACCTCCCCATTCTGTGCTCCTGCCAATCAAAGAATAGACACTTATTTTTTCTCAATAGGCATAATGCAAAACTAAATTATAAAAAGTTTGTTTGAACACATTAAAAAGTACTATTACATAGACTTTTGGATCAGTAATTCTTTTTAAAATAAGAAAAAAAGGTTAACTTTTCATGATGATCCAATGACAACAAATACTCTTTTCCAACTTCATTCAAATACTCTTTGTTTTATTTCAACCAATATTGTTCAAGTATGCCTTAGAGTATATTTTTTTCTTTTTTGTTGGTCTAATCTATTTTCTTTTTGATAAAAATAATAATGTACCATGCAACAAAGATGGGAAATTTTTATAAGGGAAGGGAGAAAAGGCTATTGTTTTACTCACTTTTCATGAGAAGGTGACATGCTAGTGAAAAAGACTCTGGTTTTCTTTGGATCCATATTCTCTTTAATCCATCTCAACATACTCTTCATTGCCATGCGATATGCATCCTCTGTGGATACCTCCACTATATTTTTTACGTCATCAAAAGACCCTTCCCTGCAAACAATAGCGGATTCAGAATTTAAATATTGTAAGTTTTGAGCTGAAAGAATAAGTACTGAAATTATTCGTGACCCTAGGGTCAAGTCTGTCACGAATAAAAATCAATAAAAAAAATAAATAAATCAGCAAACTAAAGGGCTTAGGAAATTACGAAATATTAAAACGATAGCCACTCCTCCACCAAAGGTAAGTATTGAACACAATTATATCAGCCCCTTTCCAATATTTCCCATGCACATCAATTGAACCATTTCGAACAACTCTTTTATAAATTCTATGTTTCACTGCATCATCAGCATTTGATTCCAGCAGAAATGGTGCCCAATAGAACTCAATTGTTGCATTATAATCCTGGAAATTCAAATATTAGCTAACAAAAATAACAGAATTTGTAATGTGTAAGCTCAAAAACTGCTAGTGATGATCACCTTAATGGTAAAAACATCGAAATTACCAACAGTTTCCATGGATTTAGCATTCTCTGGAATGAGTCCATTGACAAGACAAATCAAAGAATGATGTTGTCCTCTGTTCAAGGAATCGCCTACGAACAACATTCTCTTCCCCCGAAGTGTTTCCAGCAACAATGTCGCGTTGAAACTGCCATTTTACATTAGCCAAAGGCGTCATAAATCATAAGGAGAAAAACTAAATACTGTATATTCTAAATGTTCAGTCCTGGGCGTGCGAGGTGTTAGATCTCACATTGGGTAGGAGATTTAGAAAATGAATCTCCTTATATATATATATATATATATATATATTCTTGTACAATTCTCACCTTATAAGCTAACTTTTAAGGTTGAGTTAGGCTCAAAGTCCATTTTCTTATCATGCCGTCTAATGTCAAAGAAATGGAAACTCTGAAAATTGTCTAATGAATTCATAATATAATCCGTCCTATATATACTGACAGTATAAAAGAATTTTACCTCGGGAGAGAGCAACTATGAGGTTGCCATCTCCAATGTTGATAGTCTTTATCTGGTCTGCCATTTGCTTGACAAGTCAACTGTGCCGTTATGTACGGACACTCTGATTCTTCATATAAAGGCTTTTTCTCGTCCCAAACCCATTTCCCACTGAAAATATCACATCCTTCCTCTATCTCTCCTATTGCAAATGGTAATTTTTGTTTGCTCTTCTCTGCCAACAATTTCACCGTAAATTCGAAATACTTATACAAGTAAAAACGCGGGAGAGATTTAAAAAAAAATTAGAAATGCAGTCAATTTTAACCCAACTTCATGCATGCAAATCGAAAAGATGTGTAAAAAAGATTTAGCTTTGTTCTGCTTTTAGTTTGGATTTGTTTTTGGTTTTCTTCTTCTTTTTTGTGCATTTTTCGATTTAGTTTTAAGAAAATTGCTTTTGGAATTTTTTCTTTTGTTGGATATTTGCAAACAGACGTGGATTTAGGGCGAGTTCAGTGAGTTTAACCAAATCCTTTGTTTTCAGCTTGAATTAAAATGTATACGTATAATAAGATTATACTAGGTTCTGAAATCAACTCTTAGAGAAATTATTTTGTGCATAAATTTGTTATATTTTCAGGTTTACATAAACGAACAAAAGCGCTTTTCTCTTGGACAAACACGCATGATCAATTCTTCCAAAAATTAATTAAAATAAATTAACTAAAAGTGAAACAGAAAGTGCAAATTCATTAGAATTACTCACTTATTCTTGAGCTAGAATTATGTTGTTGGCTGGAAACTCTAAAGTCAAGCTGAACAAAAATACTGCTCCTGAATTCTTCTCTGTATAGAATAACAACAAGAACAATGAAGGGTAGTAATATTAATAAAAAAGGAGAAAGATGAACTTTTTTGAGAATAGAAGAGTAAAAAGGAGAAGAATTTGGAGGTGACTCCATTTCCTATGAAGCCTTCGAATTATTCAGTGGGTTAATAAATACAGGAAAATATAGAG